ATGAAAACAAGGGATTATGTTTTATCCTTTTTTATATACCCATGTACAATACTTATATAGTAAATGCTCAATAAATACTGACTGATTACTTAAAGTCATAGGAAACAAAGGCAGATAAAGAAGGCCAGATCTTTTAGTTAGCATGTATTTAAAGATGAAAAAGAATTTAGTAACATCTAATGTTTTCCTGTATTTTGCAGACAAGAAAACTAAAGTCCAGAGAGTTGTTTTTCTCAAAATCACATAATTAATTACTAATATCTCCAAATCTAGACTTTAAACATCTAATTTGCTGCTYTTAACTCTTCACAACACTTCACAATGACACAATACTTCACAATGACTTCTTTTCTTTTCTTTTCTTTTTTTTTTTTCTGGTACTGAGGATTGAACTCAAGGGCACTCAACCACTAAGCCACATCTCCAGCCCTATTTTGCATTTTGTCTCACTGAGTTGCTTAGCACCTTGTTTTTGCTGAGGCTGATTGTGAACTCATGATCCTCCTGTCTCAGCCTCCGGAGCCATTGGGATTACAGGCCTGTGCCATAGTGCCCGGCTCACAGTGACTTTTATTTTTTATTTTGTCTATGTGTCTTCTTTGGCTTGGAAGAGAATGACAAGGACCAAATCTGTTCACAGATATTTAATGGTAACTTTCAGATAAATATGTAGGGTGTGTACAAATTCCTCATACAGATTCAAAGGGATTTATATTCTCCCTCAGCAAAAGCTTCTTTCTGACCTTCCTTCTGCCACCGACTCTCCCACTGATCCCTCCCTCAGAAGCCTGGATATCAGGGATCCTTTCTCCTTTCTTCATTTACTGTTTTCTTTCTCTAGAAGTAGAGAGGATTAATAATGGCTCACAGTCCTGTATCTGAGGAACTGATTTAGCAAGAGAAAGTAGAAGAGCTATCACTCAGTCCCCACCAGCCCATCAGAGCCCCAAAGTGAAATTAACAATAACAAATAGGGGCTTCAGGTGTAGCTCTGTGATGAAGCACATACTTAGCATATGCAAGGCCCTGGGTTCAACCTCCAGCACAAAAGGAAAAAAGTCCCTCCAAATAGAGGAGTTCAAGATCTAAAAATAGTCCTTATTGGAGTGTAAAGATACCACTTCAGCTTGGACAAGAGAATCCTGAAAAGTTAATGAACCACACCGATCACCTGCATCTCCCCCTGATTTTTCCAAATGAGGAAATTAGAACATTGAGAAATAAAGTAACTTGTATAGTTATTCAAACAGTAGTAGAATTGGGATTAGATTCCTAGTCTCCTGCCTTCAAGATAGCTGTTCAGTGGGGCTGGGACTGTGGCTCAGTGGTGGAGCGCTTGCCTGGCATGTTCTATTCTCAGCACCGCTTAAATAAATAAAATAAACATCCATTAACAACTAAACAATATTAAATTTAAAAAAAAGATGTCTGTTCTCATTCCATGCCCCATGCTCATCTAGCAAAATATATCATAAAGTAACCTCATCATAAGCCATCTGGAATGCAAAACATACTATTTGAACCCTTCTTTCTCTCTGGCAATTTTAAAAAAATTTTGATTGACAAATCATAATTATATGTATTTATGGTGTACAATGCAATTTCTTTCTTTCTTTCTTTTTTTCTTTTTTTTTTTTTTTTGGTACTGGTACTAGAGATTGAACCCAGAGATGCTCTACCACTGAACTACATCCCCAGCCCTTTTTATTTTTTATTTTGAGGCATGGTCTCACTAAGTTGCCCACACTGGCCTTGAATTTGTAATCCTCCTGCCTCAGCCTTATGAGTACAGGATTATTAGAGGGTGTGCACCACACATCCAGTTACGAATGTATTGATGTATGAATACATTATAGAAAGATTTGATCCAGCTAATTAACATAATCATCACCTCACCAATTTAATGTATGTGTGTGTGTGTGTGTGTGTGTGTGTGTGTTAAAAACATTAAAAACTTATTTTAGGAGATGGAAGCAGTGGTGCAGACCTGTGGTCCCAGAGGCTCAGGAAGCTGAGGTAGAAGGATCCCAAGTTTGAGGCCAGCCTCAGCAACTTAGTAAGGCCCTGTCTCAAAATAAAACTTAAAAAAAAAAGCGGGGTCGGAGGTGAGGGTGGAGGTAGAGATGTGGCTTAGGGGTTAAGCTTTACTGGGTCCAATCCCTAGTACCAAAAACAAAAACACCCCCAAAAAAACTACTTTAGCAATCTTAAAATATACATTAACTGCGACCACAACGTAGTGCAAATAGACCGCTAAAACTTATTCCTCCATTCTAACTAAACTTTGTACCCWGTGGTTAACATCTTCCCTTTCCCCTTCTTCCTTCTTCCCCGACTCCCCACCCAACATTTTTTTTTTCCTTTGTGTTTCTCTGTATCTTAGTCTCCCTCTCTTTTTCTAATCCCTTTTATGTTTTTCCCTGTGAATCTTCTCCRGGGTTTCAAATTGAACTGTGGCGTGCTTGCATGATTCTTTCTATAAACTGTCTTTCTATCCAAAGGCAACAATGTGCAAGCCAATCAAGACTCTTTCTTGGTGACCTTTGTGGAAAAGAACACTAGGAATTTCRACAGGAAAGATGCTGAACCTCCCTCCTAGCCTATCCAGACAATTAAAATGAGTCTCTGGCTCCCATGAGGGTTGTTAACCAATCCAAGGAAAGAAAAGATCAATCTCATTTCTTCGTCACTACAGTGCAGGGAAGCTGCTAACCAGTCAGAGTCTGCTACTGGCAGTCATTAGAAAAACTGGCCAATCAGGCCAACCTTGTTACATGGCCTGGTAGGAAAAGAAAGGGACTGATTGGAAAGGATGTTCTGGCTCCACACCCTTTCCTTCCTGGACCCGTCAGTGATGTGAAGGAAGAACACTTACACAAGCTCATGGTTAACAAGATCCCTAAACCTTCAGCTAATCTCTTTAATTCTCATTCTCTCTCTCTCTCTCTCTCTCTCTCTCTCTCTCTCTCCAAATTCACTCCTGCTTCATACTACATACAGAACAGTGAGACTACTTTTCTGTGAGAACTACTGTTCTGCTACTGATGTAATGTCTTGCTTTAACCCTTGCTGCAAAAGCCCCCAGTATTTTCTGGTTCCCCCAAGATCTCTACCCACTAATATGTCAGATAACTTCTTTTGCATGATTTRTGTGGGTAAAAGTTTTGTGACAGTAGTCTCTCTCTCAGGAGATACCATACAAGGACCCTAGTCTCTRGAGACTGCAATAGAGAGCAGTGCAGAATTGAATTGCATTGCTCCTAACCATAATAGTGATGGTGATGAAAATGAYAGCAATTATTAAACTATGTACCAAGCACCTAGCTAAAATCTTCACGCATATCATTATCCCAATATTGGCTACAGGGTTAGCACTAAGTATTCCCAATTTACAAAGGAAGAAATTGATTTAGAGGGGTTGAATAATCTGCCCAAGGTCACACAGTGATTTSGCAACTCAAGTTTGTCTCAATTCAGAGCCCACCACTGTATCAAACATTGCAGGCTGTGACAACTTTTGAGAAGGRCTATCTTTAGTTTACTCAGAGACCCTCTGGTCTCTGGGATTGTTGGCGATAATTGAGATTGTCTAAATTGTTGCATCAAACAGCTGCAACCACCGTTTGGCGGTGGCTCCAAAGAACTGTGGACTTTCTGCCTCATAGGCTGTGAACTGAGCGCTAAATGAAATTCAGTTTTGAGGGGTGCAGGGGTGTCGGTGGATTTCAGGGTATAAACTTCTAAATCCTTGCTCCCCTGTCTTCCCTTTATCCCACAGCATCCTGCACAGTGCCTGGCACAACTTAGTACTTGGTAAATACCTGTTGATTGATTCCCAAAGATCTCAGTTCCGCTCCTACCCTAGTCAACAAATGGAACTGGAGAGAGATTTGGGGATTTCAGTGGAGCCTCTGAGAATCCTAATCGAGTTGAAATCTTGGATTTAGGGAAGGCGGGAAGTCCCCCACCCTCTTCTTCTCCTATTTCTCTTCACTCCTTCCCCTCCCTTTCAGGAGCTCAGGGCCATAAAAATGCAGATGGAGGATCGGTGTGAAATAACGGGCCCATATAAATCCCTCTGCCGCCCGCCTGCAAGATGGATTGGCCGCATTGAAATTCCTCCGCGAGGATAATTAAACTCGGGGCCTCATCCGGGCAAAATTACATTCCTGTAATGGCGTCGCTCGGGGTCCCGGGAAATTGCTCCGTGGGCTTTCAGCGGCGGTTTTTATCGCCGGTCGGGGTGTGCCTGGCTGCGGCTCGCCTCTCCTCCGGGACCGTAAAGCTGCTGCTGTGATTTATCCTCCCCTTCTCCCAAATCCGATTAAATGGAGGAGCTCGGGGCCGGGGCGCCGCGGGGCCGGAGAGCCGGGAGGGGGCGGCGGCAAGGACGGGGCCAAGGAGGGGAGGACAAACGGCCCCTCAGAGGGTGGCGGATTTGGTTTTATTTACAGCCGCGGCTTTCTTTTTATTTTTTATTTTTTTATGGGGGTTTGGTGAGCTTTTCCCGTCTTTCTCGTGCTGCGTTCAATGAGCACGATGCCTGGACGGCTGGGGTTTGGAACTGGATAGGCCTCGCGCCCTTCTCTTCCAAAGGGCTGGTTAAGTTCTGCCTGGGGGATAGGCATAGAAGCCCCCACCGCTTCCACCAGGGGGAGGCCCCAAAAGGACATCAGAGGGAAGTCGTGGGCTTTTGGGAAAGTGCCTCATGGGCACTGCTTAACCCATATCTCGCCTAGGTGAAACCTGGGCAGAGACCTGGGCTTGCCCAGGGTGACCCCCTTGTACCTTAACTCAGGACACAGGTGATCGTTATTCTTTACCTGCCCCAGGAAAGAGAATTTTGGACTAAGCCCCTAATTTTCTGACTTGTTGATACTGTTTTTCTCATGGCTTATCAACAGAGTAGGAAAGGGGAAAAGGCAAAGCCAGCTGAGCCAGCTGTGGCATTTTGCTGACTATTCCCCCCTTTAACCAGTTTTCCATCTAATGATGCCAGGAGCCCCAGGGCAACAGAAGGCTGGAATCCCTTGACTTCATTTTCCTCCTGCAACATTTCAGTAACTGAATCGCAATCACTATTGTATGCTATTTAACACTGAATATCTGAAGCCTTCCCCCAATGGGTTGCGCATGCTCAGAAGGGAGACCGGCGGCCAAGATCCCAAACGCTGTACCGATCAAAGGCAGGCCATGTTATGGATCGGCTTACTCTGTGAAGTTGGCCTGTGTCCGCCAACTACAGGGTCGGCTCCGCCTGTAGTTTCTCCTGTCGAACACCAGGTGGAGCCTCTGGCCGGATGCCGCTTCAGAGCTGGCAGGCGGCGCTGTAGAACCTGAGGCAACCCTCGACCTTGCATTCACTCTATCCGCTGCGGAGCGACTCGTTGGCCCGGGCCACGCATGCGCCAAGTCTTCCCTTCGCTATTCCCGCCCTCCCCCCGCCCCTCTCTGTCTTCTCTGCACTGGGAGCAGGTAAGGCGTTGGGGCCTCGTGCCCTCTCTGCGCCGCGCAGGCGCGCAGGGTACCATCTCGCGTGGATGCTGTGCGGCCCTTTTCCTGCTTGTTCCCACCGGGGTGCTTACACCCTCCTCGGTTCCCGCTATCCCCGCTTCTGAAAGCTATCCCTTCCGCGTGCTAGTGACCTCCAACCGCGCGGGCCTGGCGCCATCTTGGGTGTTTCCTAGGGGAGGGTGCTTTGGAGCTGGCAAAAGTCAGATCCTGTAATGCTGATTTTCATCTGTCGCTACCCAGTACTTACAGACGCTTTTAGCTCACTTTCTTGCCCTTTCAGAGTTGTCATAGCGCCCTTTCTTTCCCTACTTTCTCACATCTTAATTCTTGCCCCAAATCTCCAAATTCAACCCCAGGACCTCAGGCGCTCCAGCAGTGGAGATAGTACATCGTTCAAAGCCACCAAACCCTCAATTTAAAAAGTGAACTGAGCCGGGCGCGGTGGCGCACGCAAGAGGATCGCAAGTGCAAAACCAGCCTCAGCAACTTAGTGAGACTCTGTCTTTAAATAAAATATAAAAATAGGCTGGGGATGTAGCTCAGTGGTTAAGCGCCCTTGAATTCATTCAGTCCCTGGTACAAAAACATAAACTATAAACGTGGGAGAAACTACCAACAAGCATAACATCCTATCCTGTCAGACAGTCTTGGAAGAGCCAGGGCACAAAAGAGTACTGTTACCGGTTGCCTCCCAGTAACTTTACTTTCCTGGCACTCTGGTGTAGTTGGAAAAATCACAAGTGGTAGGCTAGAAATGAAGTTTCTGTTAGAGACAGCAGGGCCATAAGGCCCAGCTGGTGGTGCCTGCACGAGTCTTTGCTTTACAACTTTTTATTAAGCTCCGCAGATTTCGCCATCAAGAGTAAAAAGAGCTGGGCCCAATGGCGCCCTTCTGTAATCCCAGCAGCTCAGGATGCTGAGGCAGAAGGATTGGGAGTTCAAAGCCAGCCTCAGCAATTAAGCAAGACCCTGTCTCTAAATAAAAAAGGGCTGGGGGTGTAACTCGGTGGTTGAGGGCCCCTGGGTTCAATCGCTGCCCCCCCCCAAAAAAAAGGAATGTTAAAGGTAGGAAATGATTAAGTTATCATTCCTGTAACTCAGAATTCTTTAGGAAACCCATGATGATTTAAAAGCCATGGTTCTGTAGAGTGCCACTGCCCAAGTGGAGGCTAACAGTTGCAGGCTCCAGCTGGCATGGTGGCACACAGCTGTAACCCCAGCAACTGGGGAGGCTAAAGCAGAAGGACTGCAAGTTCTAGACCAGCCTCAATAATTTAGCAAGGCCCTGAGCAATTTAGCAAGATCCTGGGGATCTTGGGGATGTGGCTCAGTGGTTAAGTGTTTCTGAATTCACTCCTGGGTAACAAAAAGAGAAAACAGATGCAGTTTCCTTTAATTGCCATCTTTGTTGTGAGCCTATTACCTGCCAGTACCACTTTATAAATGATTTTTGGGGGGGAAGGTGGGGGGGGGTCACTTAACCACTGAGACTTATCTCTAGCCCTCACTCAGTTGCTGAAGCTGGCTTTGAACTCAGGATCCTCCTGCCTCAGCCTCCTAAACCTCTGGAATTACAGGCATGTGGTTTGCCACCCTACTCAGCTTATAAATTATGCTTTTAAGGCTTAAGTGCTTTGAGAAAAACAGCTCTCCCTTTATTAAAAGCTTTAAAGAAGTATTGGATTTTGACCCAGGGAAACCTGTTCAGCAGAATTGGGGTTTGTGTTGCATATAGGCAGAAATCAGTTCTAGACTGGACAAGACTTAAAGATACCTATTTACACCTAAAAGTAACTAAGATTTTGGATTCTGGGGCAGTTTGAACCCAGTTCATTTAAGGAAGTTGTGTTTAATAGATCTACACATTTTCAGAGTTTCAGCCTATGACACATTAGAAAAACCGTGTAACTTAAAAGAGAAAAGTTCAAGGCTGACTTGGCAAATTAGTAAGTCCCTGTCTCAAAATAAAAATTTAAAAGAGTTGGGGAGCTGGGCGTGGTGGTGCATGCCTGTAATCCCAGCAACTTGGGAGGCTGAAGGAGAAGGAACACAAGTTCAAAGCCAGCCTCAGCAATTTAGTGAGGCTGTCTCAAAATAAAAAATAAGAATAGCTGGGGATATGTATGCTTAGTGGTTAAGTGCCCCTGGGTTTAATCCCCAGTACCAAAAAAAAAAAAAAGTGTTGGAGATGTGGCTCATTGGAAGAGTACCCCTAGGTTTAATTCCCAGTACCACAAACAAACAAACAAAAGTAATATGCTTGATCTCAAGTCCTAGTTCTACCACTACCCTAGTTGTTTGTGTGTTTTGGTATTGGGGATTGAACTCAAAGTGGCTATACCCCTGAACTATATCCCAAAAAGCCTTTAAATCCAACTTAAATCCCTGTCTCAGCCTCCTGWTAACTAAAATTATAGGCTTCTGCCACCATGCCTAGCTCCAGGAATATGTATTTTTAGTACATATACTACCTCTACCCCAAGATAATTCTGGTTCTGGTGTCTTCTCACTTCACTTGGAGAAAACTTGTCTTTATATCTCTTTGGGGGCTGGGGATGTGGCTCAAGCTGTAGCGCGCCCGTCTAGCATGCACGCGGCCCGGGTTCGATCCTCAGCACCACATACAAAGATGTTGTGTCTGCCGAAAACTAAGAAATAAAATATTAAAAAATTCTCTCTCTCTCTCTCTCTCTCTCTCTCTCTC